CCCGCCGCCGCCCGCATCATGCCGCCCCCCCGCCCGTACGCCACTCGCGCCCGGGGGCTGCCTCCTTTTCCGGCCCGCGGCGTGTGCGTGAGAGGGGCTTGAAGTTACCCCGGAGGCGGCGGAGGAGAGACGCGGGGCCGGGGCGGCTGTTGGCGGCGGCGGGGCGCGGCGGGGCGCGGCGGGGCGCGGAGCCCACCCCCATCACCTGTTACCTCCGCTCCCCAGGTTGCCTGAAGTTCCCCGGCGGCGCCCGGCAGGACGGGGAGCGCCGCGGCTCCGGCTCGCAGGGACCCTACAGTGGCTGCTGCAGCATGGGCTGGCTCAGGGGGATTGCCTTGCTTTCCTTGGGAGTATTATTAGCAGGAAGAGTGAACTGCCAGCATGTGAAGAATAACGTGCCAAGACTCAAATTATCCTATAAAGGTAAGTCTGTTGTTCTCTCTTATTCTCGGATTCCCGCTCCTCCTTGCCCGGTCACCCTCCCCCCCACCCCGCCCGCTCCTCACCTTCCTCCCGGCTTTCCCTTATCTCTGGAAGGGGAAACTGTTGTATGGAGAAATTTCTGAGAAAACACTTAAAAAGCCACTCCGTGCTCCTGTACCCCGCAGTTTGAGCACAAAGAGTTAGTTGCGTTTGCAGACAGGGACTGGGGATCGTGCTGATCCACGAAGAGTGTTTTCTGCCTTGTGCTATTCCATCGGACTTTACTCTTTAAAACGATGAGCCTGGCCGCTCCGCTCATCACTCGTTCTGGGCACGGAGTGCAGCCCCGGTACAGATCTCTTTCAGACAGGAATAGATGAAGCTTTATATTTTCCCTTTTTAGACATGAAGTGGTTAATTTTCAAGTCATGAATATTCAGACTGTACAAATCTGACAATCAGATGCCTAACATAAGCAGTAGATGGTGGGTTTGCCAAGAAACTATAAACTGAAAGGAGCAGATCAGTCCAGAACAGGGGGAAAGGACTGTTATGCACTGGAAAGCACTGCCTGTGGATGTTGAGTGCAGCGCGATTTATTTGATCTGAGGTTGTGTTTGGTGTAGTCTGATGCGTTTCATTAAAGATCACAGAGAAGGTGTAACTGAAGAAAGAGCTCTGAGATTACGTTAATGTGGAAATTGTGTAATACCACTCACGCTGCAATTGTCAGTAATTAACTTTTGTACCATATTGCTAGCATTAAGAGAGGGCTCTGAAGTAGGCAGATTCTTTTCTTCATCAGAGTAGTTCCTCTGTAAATACATTTTCAGGAGAATGCACAAAATCTGAAGAATATGTAACTGGGAAAGAAGACTGAAATGTAGGGGCTGTGGAGCATTGTTATTAAAAGGGTGTGTGTGTGTGTGTGTGTGTGTGTGCATTTTTCTCAGTAGAGCTGCCTTCTCATAATTCTCAGATTATTGGAGGTTGGGAGAAGGAGCAGCAGCTCAGATTCTGAGGGAAGGGAGGAAAAGTATCACACTACAGTGGAAAAGAGTACATGTGTGTGCATGCCTGGTCAGAGATGTCAATCCTAGTTTACAGTATAGTGGCAGTACATCTCTTGCCAGTAGAAATACATTTCCTATTTTTTTTTTTTCATTTTTTTTTTGCATGCTGCAAATGAGAGGGGGAAAGTCCACTCTGATATGATGTCATTTTAATACTCCAGTTAAAAAAAATATATATATATATATTAACACCTGCAAAACTTGGATGCATTGTATGCAATAAATACATGTGCAGAATTTTATTAAAGAATACTCATATGCATATTTGTGTGTGTTTAAACATGAATGGGTTTATCTGAAAAGAAGAGTTAAAGGGATTCAGAATGTGTTTGTTTAGTTTTCATAGGAGAAGCCATTTCTATTTTACACAAAATTGTATATTATGAATAATGTAGACTTCTACATAACTACATGTCAAACAAAATCATTAAAAACCTCTTAATTGCTTCCAAACTTTCACAATCATGCCTAAACTAAGATTAGTCCATAGAAGCATTAATCCTATAAAAATATCCTGTAAAGGGGTTTAATGGCTAATTAATTATTGTTTATTATTTTTCACCCTTTTAAAGTTTATTGATGGATCAGGTCTGCTCCCCCCCTCTTGCACAGGCTGATGTTAGAAACCAAAGGATGGCCCAATCTGGTTGGCAGTCGTTTTTTATTCCAATGCTACTGTATCCATATGCAATTTGTCAACATTTTGCTACTCCGCTGATTGGTTGCTTTCCAGTTCAAGCCTTACTGGGCAAAAAGGTCTAATTCTCATTTTGCAAGTATATCAGACAACAAATTTTGATATAAAGCCAGTCCTATATGCACACAACAGGAAACAGAAAGAAGCATTGACACTGTTTTTGTAACTGCTGGATCGCTGTAAAAAGATAATGAGTTCAAATGCTGAGCAACCCTGCTTCCTCCCTAGCAAAGAAAGTAAACACATGTTTAATTCAAAGCAAGTTAAAGTTAAGTCTGAAGACTTACAGGAATTCTCACTCTGGCCTTTGATTCATATGTGTACTTAATCACATATTTGACTTAAAACATGTGTAACCCTAAAAATCAAATGAGACCACTCACATGCTTAACGTTAAGTACCAGTGTAAATGCTTGGCCAGGTCAAGAGGAGCGTGTTGCATGTGCTGCTGCATTGATCCCTCAGAATAGGGATATCATTATTAGCCAGGGGAAACTAAGCCTTATCAGCTGGTGCTTTTCAAGACAAATTTTCCTTCCAGCCTAGTGCACAGATAAATGTTAATACTTTGGCTAGGAACAGCTTGGAGAGCTGTAGGTATTGAAAATATGTCTTTCAGGCACTCTCTGAATACCTTACATGCTAATATGCATATCAGGGTATACCTCACTGCTGGGTGGTGCTACATGATTTATCTCTATCCAAGCTCCTTGCCATTAGGATAAGAAACTCCCCAGTCACTGATCAGTTCTGCCTCTCTTTATAGAACTGTGGTTGAGTAAAATAAGACTGAGGATATTAAAAAGAATAGGTGGGGTGTAAAGTATGACCCAAGTGACTTCTCTTTTCAGTGGCTGTCATTGTTCTTTAACATGCATGCTTGTATTTTTTTTTTTTTTTTTTTTTTTTGTGTAAACAAATACCTTGGAGCTAATTGTGGATGCTTTACTTCAAAAGAAAAGCAAGGATGCATTTTAACTTCTTGTTTTTTTTGACTGCTGGATGTCAAACATGGTTAAAAAGCTCAGGCATTTGCTTTAAAAGTTAGTGAAATGAGTCATGAAGGGTTAGAGCCCTGCCAACCCTGATTTCCTATGGTCACTTGTTTTCAAAGGTCCAGCATTAGCTCTGCCATTTCCCAGGTTGCTGGACAGAAGTTTCGGTGAACTCCCATTTTTGCTTCCTCTTAACTTCTTGTCACTCAGTCTTGTAGCAGATTTAGAAGCATCCTACAGGGCACACTGCAGATAGGAAGGGGAAGGGAAGGTGTGTAAATGCATATATTAAGGCCACGTCTGCGGCCTGAAAAGGTTCTTTCTGTTTATTGTAAAACAGAACTCTGGTTATTTGGCTTACATCACCTTGATTTTGAGGTGTATTAAAGGAAGGAAATTTGAGGAGAGCATTGGGGAAATCCTTGTTCAGCTCAGGTCTGTGGAGAAACTCCTATTCAGTAGCTCCAAGCATTTTCCTCTCAGTGCATGGATTGGGAAGGTTTTACAAAGATGATATGTGTCTCTTTATTTCATTCAAAGAGAATTAATATGATTAAGGGACTGATCCAAAGCTCACTTAAGTCAGTCAGTTCTAGATCATAGCCAAACAGCTATAAAACTGAAAGCTCAACTGAGCCCCTCAACATTAGAGGTCCTCTATATGTGTCCTTCAAAGATTTTGTGTCTTTATTACAGAGTTAACAAGAAGCACTATTGTTGATATGCCAAATGTAATGGAATCTTTCCTTAAAATGTGATGGCTTTTTGTTGTTGTTTTTTTAATTGAATTGGCTTAACTCTCAACACGGCTGTAAGTCTCTATGCTGTGTCACCAGGTCACAGATTGTGTTCGGGAAACTTCTATTGAACAGAGAGTTATCAGAAAGATGGTGACCAAGTTGAGTGTGCAAAGTTTAAAACAATAAATACAGCCTTAACTCCAGATGGATTTTTTTTGCATCGTTTATTGTTTCTTATTTTCTTTTGCTGTCCTCTGCATGGGGGGAGTTAATGTCACAAGCAGAGACAGAACCATTGACAGTAACACTTAAATATAAACATATAAGTCCCAAAAAAGAGTTTCCATTAACAGTTCCTTGACTTACAGATTTTTCCTTAAGCAGCCCCAGTTTTTGTCTCCACATGAGTAAAACTTGTGAACCCGACTTTCTCAAATCCATCTGTTGCATCCTATTTTTCTGCTGAAAATTACTAAATGCTGTAAGTATGTTTTGTAAGAGTACATGTGTGGTTCTTCTTTGTTATTGTTGCTCAATTGGATACATATTACTTGAGAACAAATAAGTGGAAAAGCATTGCACAGATTTAGCTCTATTAGTCCCTGGCTCCATTTCAAGTCATATTAAAAATAAGTGTTTTGTTTAAAATTGGAGTGATAGTAAGAACTGCTCCTTCCTTGACGTACAGTTGATTTACATCTTTATGTGATGGATTTTTATACGGACGAAATCCTGGCCCCTGCAAGAGAAATGGCAAATCTTCTGCCTGATTCAATCAGTGCAGCACATTGTGACGAGGGAGGAATGACACTGCTCTGAATTACCTGTATGTATGCCAGGGTAAATGTGATATTCGGTTTAGGTTACTGACCTAGTTGGGTTGTAGCTGATGACCTGCTGGTAGGTTTGACTGTGGTTTTTCCTTTCAATCAAACTCTATAAATCACAATTCAGTAACTCCATAAATATGGAGAAAGCAGGGCAGAGTGGGAGAAGGACAAGGGAGAGGAACCTCAGCCAGCACAGGCTATCTTGAGCTGGGACCACTATTTAAGTTTGTCTCAGATTTCAAAGTATCTCTTTAAAAAGCTTCATGCTTAAACTCAGAGATAAAAGCCTCTCTAACATCCTTGAAAAGGAGAAGAAGGGCAGCCTAGATTTGGTAAGAAGACTGGGAAGGAAGGCAAGCAGGAGATGCTGTTAGGCTCATCACACTGCTCAGCTTCCACTACTCCTGCACAGGGTTTCTGCATTGCCTGGCACTCTGTGTCCTTGCCATTATCTCAGTGCAGGCTGGAAGCAATGAAGACATCAGATGCAACCATAGATTTTGTCAGACTTTTTTTTTTTTTTTTTTTTTTTCTTTCCCCATAAATGTTGAGTACTTTGGAGAAGCTCTGTGTGTTGCTCTATCTTGCCTTGCTTGAGTGGGGTCTTTATGAGACATGGGAACTGTTAGGAGAGACCATAGAACAACCCAAATGAATCTTGCCTG